TTCAGCTTTTTAAGTAGGGCATGGCAGAAATTTAAGAACTACACCCTTAACTGTCGATAAACTAATCTTTCAGACAGGCGTGGTCAGGACAACCAGAAACCAACAAACAACAAGAAGCTGTTATGTCAAATGCATAGGTATAACAGGCTAATAATTACATATGAAATTTACTTTAAAAAATTAGATAAAGCAGTTAAGATTGTGTGTGTCTCTCTCTCACATAAACAATTATATAAAAGGGGTAAACTTACTAATGGGTAGTACACTAAGAAAATAAATTTATAAAATTAAAAGTAGGGCTGAACGTCAATGTGTAGCATGAATTTTTAGGAAACCATTTAAAAAATATTTTAATTTTAAAGTCCTTTGGTTTAAAATGTGTTATGTAAATACAACTTGAAACTGTAATTATCATCTTTAAGCACCAAGCACTAAAAAAACGATTTACATTCTTTTTAAGTCTGACCATTTCAGCTGTTCTTCCACATGACAACAAATATAGATGACACATGTTTATAGATTAAATATCAAAAAGTGTGGGTCTTGAAAGTACTGTAGATGGGCAGCAAAAAGTCATAAATGGAAGAAAATTTATTTTTTTAAATTATTTTTTGTTTGAATTAAAATGTTAATATTTAATATAAATATTTTTTCATTTTAAAGTCAAACTTGTGTCTTGTCAATAGATGGAAAAAACTAAAAGACTGCAGAGGCTATGAGGATGTAAAAAGGCATCAAGATATATAAATGAATCACTGAAAACACAAAGGAGGAAAGATTTTCAGATTTCAAAATGGCAGTCAAAAGGATGGAATTGGCTGTTTTACACAGCAAGATTTGTATATTTACACAGACAACATGAATATATTTTTTACTTACAATAGGCCCATCTCCATGCTCCAAGAATGGCTGGTGTTGGATGTGCACAATTGCAGGCAGAAGGTACTAAAAAGGACAAAAGGAGTGAATCTTGCACGTAATGCAACTATTAACATAACAGTGTAACATCAGTGTTTTGAAAGAATAAAGAGTTGTCTGCCATATCTCCATATCGCCATAACATCAGTGCTGTGAATTTCTTACAAAAGACAGCAGTGTTAACATGGTTTTAACTCAAAACATTTTGTCTCAAATGAATATTTTACAACTCATAGCATCTGGTCAGTCTCAACGGAGCCACTCTTAAACTTGTATACACTCACTGTTGTCACCTTAAAAAATATCAACAGTGTTATACACATTTTTTTTTCCCAATTTTGCCTAGTGAGTGGTGCAGTAAGGTTACTTTGCCATAAATGGCTGTACTAAATAATACAAAATGACAGAATAAAGAATTTATTATGTTTTTCTCTTTGGTGAATTTAGCCAATCATGCTGCAAAAAAATCTATACTGTATTATGTTTTAAAATGCTTTGGAAAGCAAAAGTAACCACATAGCACCATTAATTTTATTCCCCATCTTGGCTGAAATGGTTTAAAAAAAAAAAAAAAAAAAAATTCTAACTGTATAACACTTACTGCAAGGGTCTTCCCAGAGCCAGTCTGAGCGATTCCAACCATGTCTTTGCCACTCAGGGCTACGGGCCACCCCTGAGACTGGATTGGAGTTGGTTCAGTCCAGTTTTGTTTGACAATTACATCCATAACGTAGCCTGAGGAAGCAAGACATGCAAGTTTAGTAGCTGCAAGTTGAAATATCAGCATAGGGTAATAGAGCAGACAGGCAGTTCTTAATTATTTAAGCAGCATGAATTTGTACTCACTTGGAAATGCAGCTTCGTGGAACTTTACGATCGGTTTGGGGCAATCTCTGCCTTTAACCGTCACTTCTTTGCTTCTTCGGTACTGTTCGACCTCTTGCTGGAATTCCAAAAAGAAAGAAAAAGACACAAGTTCACATTAAAGCAGCAATACCCACTGAAATCATGTATAATTTTAAGAGCTTTACGTTTTATGGTTTTTTTTTTCCTAGTTAAAAAAATAGAGAAAATTATGCAAAATCAGGCCTTACAAGTGGTCTGCGGGTGACATCTGGGTGCTCCTGGTAGAAGTTCTTTTGAAACTTGGGAAGCTCATCGAGGTTCCAGTGCTTCTTTCGCAGCCTCTCACCAGGGTTGCCGAACTTTCCAGGAGGAGGTCCACCCCTATTGCCTCCTCCACCACCACCAAAACGAGGAG